AGTTATTCATATGTAATACATGCTGTAACTTCTTTCAGATTGAAAAAAGCTTCCAAAAGATTGACTACATACACTGACTCAATGTTTTGGTGTAATCTCATCAACTCAACTGCATGTAACACACTTTCTGTTACTAAGACATAGCTTCAACAATATTGCCTGAGCAGCTACAGAATTATATGTAGTGAATTTTTGGGAAAAAAAATTCAAAGTCGAAAAAGTTACATGTGGTATAACATGTGATTTATTTATTCTGATGGGCAAAAAACTGAGCAGACCTGTATGTACATGATAGACAACTATTGACTTAGGATCCAGCATTGAAAGACCTCGCAGATGAATTGGTTTCAATTTATAAGTTGCATCATCACAAAGTCTTTGGAGAAGATGATTGCTGTGAAAGCGAAGATTATTTCGGTCTGGATGAGGCAAGAGCCATAGTTAACGCACTAGACAAGATTGAACATCAACAGGACATTGAGGAGACCATGGGAGGTGATATACTAGAAGGAGGGGTCAAGGTTGTTTTTGATTATATTGAAGAATGGAGGACACAAGATGTAGCCATAGAACTTTCAAATAAACGAGTGAAAACATTAGAGTCAAAAAATAAATCTGATGTAAATCGTGTGTTAACAGAAACAACTAATATCATACAAACTCCGACCGGTCCTGCAGCAGCAACAAAAAAGAAACGACGAACTTCAGCTCAGGTAAAAGCAGATAAAGAAGCTAATGCTCTTAAAGCTGCATATAATAAGCGGTGTTTGGACTGGTTGAGGGTGGATAAGATTCCATACAACCAACTAGATGCAAAAGAGGAGGCTTACCAAAATAAGTGAGTTGTATTCCTCACTGAACCAATCGACAAATTCCTTGTCAATACTTCCAAACCCATTTCGATGATCGGTCTCATTGATTTGCTCACTGTCACCTTGTTCTTCACTGTAGTATGAAGCAACAGGCCAGTGGAAGCGCTCCAGTTGTTGCTTGCCAAAATCGACTTTGAGTTTCTGGATGCCAAGACGATGGATATCTCCTAGAGGTTTACCTACAGTTTCCGAGTTGGGTTTAGACTTGGTGATATTCTCGCTTCTGGCCATGTTCAGGAAGCGAATCATCGATGTTGGGGTGGACCGGTTCTTACGTGATTGACGGACATTGTTCTGACCAGCTCGTCCTTTCATAGTGTTGACCAAATGTGAGAGCTAAATAAATTTATAACTCAGTCATGTATACTCTTAAAGTAGTGAACTTGCGAACAAATTGATGAGATTCCAATACGCACCAGCCCAACAGTGAGAGAGAATGTCTCTTTGAGTCGCTCGATGTCTGTTCCTGGCCCCTAGGTCAACCAAATCCAAGCTTTGTCAGCTTGAGAATCTAAACTAGAATTGAACCTACCTACTGCATGATTGTAAAAGTACTTTAGCCAGTAATTCTTTATCTCCAGATGAAAATCTTTTGCTACAAAATGCCCATGTCGACCGGTTGGAGAAATCAAGAGAGTGTGGAGAATAACATGCGAAAGCGACTTCGGAAGAACCTTTGTTAGCAGTCGAATGAGTCGAGGTAGATACCGGGAATAATGTGAAAGGCCTTTGATTCCTTGCATTTTCACACTCCACGACTTCCACATGAGGAGAAGGCGGCCTACATCCCCATCTGACATCGCACGATTGGCTTCGACAATGGTGGCAAAGTCGCAAAGTCGCAGTAATAGCTGCAGTCTACGGCTATCATTTTGGTGGCGCGCCAGACGGATAGCTCGTCCCGATAAATAATTGACAAATACTTTGTTGATTGCTTCCTCAAGAAGCTCGACCATCATGTCTACATGATTATTGACAGTATCTACAGGAAGTTCAAGTTCATCACTTGCAAAATGTACAACATATACTGATCAGTAAGCGTGTATGATCATATATTTGAAAGCTGCAAGTGGACCCACAAGATGCAACTTGTGATAGTTGCCTCGTGTATCTGTTCGATCCATCGTATCATTGATGTAAAATCTTTCTTTGAAGTAGGTCTTTCGCTCTTTCCACCCAGCTCAACTACCGTTCGCCACGCTCCTTGATCGTTCTTGTTGTCAGGATTACCCCAATGATGTAATAAAATGGCCTGTCCGATGTTCCACAGTGTGTGACCTGCGCCGGGAATCATGAGCAGATGTGATAAACTTTCATCTGGGAATTTTGAAGGAGTCCGCTGACTTTGTAATCCGTGGAAGTTAAGACAAGTACCAAGATCACCTTCGATAATTTGGAGTCTACTTGAGAATTCTTCAGGCGATAGACCGGTTTGTTTAGTCAGCTCATCGTAAAGGGAAGCAATTCCATCAGACCCATTGTCTGATGAATCCATCAGCTTGAGCATGGATATATCTGGTTTTTCGGGCTTGATTTGATTTAATGCCGGGGGGTTCAATAGAGGAATGTTTTTGAACTTCTTGGGATTCTTCATATATCGTAAGAGGACACAAGCTATCTGATTCTTGAGAGTCAAATTCCATCGCTTTGCTTCGACTTCATTTGGAAGCAAGTCTCCTGAGTTTACAGGCTTTTCACAATCGATTTTGAGAAAACCTTGAAATGCCCAAACCGTACACTCTTCAGAATCCAGGCCAGTAAGGATTTCAGGATTCAGGTAATGAATATAACCCCAAGTTCCATGATATGTTTTGCTTGTTGCATCTAACCGCCTACTATGTACTCGCTCCATCATATCCAGATTATCAATACAAATGAGAAACCCAAGTGTACCCGCCACCTTGATTTTCTCCTTGATAGTTTTCGCATTCTTCTTAGCAAGTACTAAAAGGCCTCTAAGAGCTGATTTTCGAGAAGCACTGAGACCGATTTGATATAGGTAGTGGTTAACTCGTTCCGAAACGCCGCAGGCAAGCAAAGTGATTGTGTTTTGAACCTGGAGTGCATTGCATCGGCGATTACATCCAAAGGCAAGCATCTGTACCATTGTCCGAGCAATCTATATATAATATAGAGTCAGTCTTGTGGTCACTAGTGTTTTGTAGAAGATAGCTTACGGATTTCAATCTAGTCTGTGTGTTTTCTGCCTTGTCCTTCGATTTGTGATAATCGTTTGTTGCAGCCGAGTTCGTCGCCGCTTGACAGTCCTCATGCGAGTCTAAGTCGGAGTCTGATTCTAAGTTGGAATCTGAATTGATATGTAAACTTTCCACACTCGTTTCATCACTGGTCTTCTTATGAATCCCTAGTTTAAAACTAATCAATTCGTGGATAAAATTCATGCTTTGAATGACAGTGTCATCTCGTTTAACATCCATTGCGTGGTCAAAAAAAGGCTGATCGAGTTTATTGATGTTGATGTAGAGACTTCCAGTAGGTGGAGACTGTGCTGCTACGATAACCTTTGCCTGTGAACATAGACATATAATTTATGAGATTATATATCAGCTTCTGGTTTCTTACAACATATACATCATAGACTCCGGCCTTACCTTCTTCAACACCCAATCATTCCATTTCTGTCAACAACTTGGCTTTGCATTCACAAGCTCATCAATTGCATCCAGGATTTCCTCGGTGGTTTTCCAACCTTTCTTCACTGATCCCCACTGTTTCTTCCGCGAGACAACATATTGATTAGATGATTTTAAATAAGACAAGAGGAATTTTTTCGTGCTGGTTTGCTGCTTGGTCATAAATCGACAAATCCTTTCGACTAGATCATCTGTTTCTCCAGATGATGGTGGCGGTAAGCTTTCGATAGTCGGATCAAGCTGGAAGCTAGTTTCTGATTCTCCGGACCCGCTGTCCATTTGAATCTTTGTTGAGTATAGCTGAGTGATTGAGGTTCGAGGCAAAGTATTGTGAAGACTCGATTTCCACAAACTTGGCCTATGGGTCAGTAGAGAGGGTCCAAATTTGGATTTAACTCACATACACATGTGCATGTATGTTTTCGCAGCAAAAAAATAAAAAAATAAAATAAAAATCATGATTGGAATTGTTTTTGAGGTCCTTTGGACTTTTGATTTTGAAACCTCTTGAGAGGAATCGGAAGAGGCCAAAAGATGGGCAAGACCTTGTTGTGTAACTTGACCGGATGAAAGTGAGGGATCAATTTGTGTGACAAAGCTAAATCAAGGATTGGAGATGGCCCCTGCCAAATCCAAATCTAATCAGGCTGAAACACGCTGATAAGTCGTAAGTCCCTCCTCCGCAAGCTCCGTAGGAAGCGCCCGCGCGGTTTGGAGGGACTTAGTTAAGTTAGATGGGCTGAACAACATGTTGAATGTAGTGGACTCGCATCCTTCATGAGTAAAATAACGACCTAAAATATCCCGCAGAACGATGAAATGTATAGAAATTGAACCAGATCGAATCGCAGTCTGATGAATAAGGTTCTAAGATTCGTCGTCCATCCGTAGTTTTTGTCATTTCCCATTCGATTCTTCAAACCAAGAGCTGATCAAATCTAGATGTAAAGCATCACAAGAACGTGCTGTAGATTTGGTCAAGATATCAATCCTTTGGAAAGACTTTCCAAAACTTCTTTTGCGAAATCAAAAGCAACACTCCTGAATATCATGAAGCTCTGACAGGCTCTGACTCAAGAGATTTGAGGATAAAGAACTTTGAATGTAGTTTTGAAAATGTAACTTGACCACGCATTCACTGCGGTTTGAAATCCAAAAATGTCGGACTCCAAAATTTGGGCCCACGAAAATATGGGTGGAACGCAATGCAGTGTCACAGATGCTGTGACACTTTCCCCTCACTTTCATGACATGTCAATAAATATCATCCAGACCGATTTACACGGACAAGCTTATTTATTCAGAAGCGTTGATGTGAAGGATTTGACACTCACTTCACATGCCCAAATCACCTCGTCTTCATGAGGATGATAAATGGACACCTGGGGCATTTTATATACTTCTGAGCTTCTTGGCTTTCTCAAAATTTGTTCCCCAAAACCTGAAGACGAGTCATATGAGCCTTTGCTAAACCCTTCTAAACCTCCAGAGTTTCACCAAGACTAGGTTTCGATAACTCGCCATAGGAGTTACAGTCAACTCTCCATGAAGGCATACCTTTTATGGGCATAATCCCTCTAAATGCATAGGTTTTTACGGAGTTTTTTCCCGCCAAAATGAGATTTGCCAGCCAAAACAAGATTTGTAAAGGCATATTCCTCTAAATGCATAAGAAAACTGCCCGCCAAACTGTATGCCATTAGAGAGAGTTGACTGTATGAATTTGATAATCAACATTCCAACGCGACAAGTCAAATCAGTTCAAATCTCATACTCTGGTATTTATATATTTCTATTTATTGCGAGTCGTGTCACATAAAAGAACGTGAGCGACCTTCTCCCACACGGGTGAGAAGAGCGATCTCGAATTTTGCAATTGGCCAGCTTTTGCCTCTTCCATTCACTCTTCCCTCATTCTTGCTGGCCTTTGAGTAAGGTCAGGTAAGGTCATTTTTCAAACTCCTTCAGCTGTTTGGGGTTTACTTATTTGCCAAACTTATACAATTACGGTACTCAAAGCTACATAGTTACACGTATATAGTTGTCGTATATACTTTTTTTTGGCGGGGAAAATAAAACGAATATACTTTTGGACTCGTTTTCCCCGCCAAAAAAAACTATGTAGCAAAAAGTATGTACGCGTACATACTTGCTTTGAGTACCGTAAATGATATATCATCTAGCTACCTTTTTCAACTTCTTAACCTTCATCAATGTCTTCTCTATCCTTCAGCCTGTTTCAGCAATCGCATGCGGAAAGCCAATGAGCTGGAATGGCGGCCAAGGAACCTACGATGAGGAGCAGGTCACAGATCAATTAACACTTTACAATAATGTGTGGGGAGGTGTGAGATTCAATAGGACTTCATGATAGATTTCTTGTCCACTCTAGATGGATTGGTTAAATCTCGGAAACATTCAAACACCAAAATTGACCATTGACCTCTTTACTTTCAATACGTCTGTCAGCTGATAGCACAGCTGCTGGAAGTAGTCAGACTGTCCAATGTCTATCCAACAAAGGATCGAGTGTAAGCTGGACCACTTCCTTTGACTTCATATCCAAGGACTCGAGTTTGGATTATCAAGTCAAGTCTTGTAAGTCTTGGCCTTTATTCCCTTGAATGATTCTTTGTGCCATTACACTCCTCAGTTAGACCACTTCCGCTTTTTACCAAATAGACTCTAACCTAGGTTGGGCCGGTAAACCGATTCAAATCTCTACCTTGCAAAGCTTTCATATCGACTGGAATTGGTCTATGAGTGAAGAGTCATCTGACCTGACAACCAATGTCGTAAGCTGTTTCATTTCACAATCATCCTGATGTTGATTGAATCAAGAAACTTAAGCTTCAAACCCCCCCAGTCCTTAGATATCTTCACTTCTACTGATGGAGCCTGTTCGGGCCAATCAGGACAATGTGCAACCCATGAAATCATGGTCAGAGAAAACTTCTTCCTCTTCTCAACCACATTCAATTTTTTACTAAAAAACTTCTTTCGTATGATTCATGACTCGTAGGTTTGGTTGGTTGCAAAAGGAGGTGCAAGACCAGCTGGAAGTTCAACCCAGAAAACTGTATCAGTCGCCAATTATGCCTTTGAAATTTTCAAAGGTAGCGTGGGTGGAATACCAGTAATCTCGCTGTTCCCAGAAGGCGGCAAGAGTTACACGAGCTTTTCAGCAGACCTGATTCACCTCTTGCGTAAGAAAGCATCATTCCGTTTGAAATTGACAAGTACATGTGACTATTTTTTATTCTTTTTTTTGATAGAAATCGAACTCTGTCAATTTGGAGTCAGTCCTGATGAATATATAGTCACAGTTGGAAGCGGATGTGAGCCCTACAAGGTAAGTAACTAATGAGTCATCAAGGAGTAAAACGCGTTAATTCAGAGAACTGAAGAAGGTGTTTTTGTTAACAGGGAGTTGGGACTTTACATTCCACTTACTCTCTAAGCATTGCATAAAATGAATTTCGATTCATTCTCTAATCTCCATGGCCTCTCCGCAATTCAAGCATCTTGTGTATACAGCAGCCCTACATTCTTTTTGACAGTGTACTTCCCTGGCCCCTTTGCAATAACCAATTACTGATGGTCTGATGGATCTCATATCAAGTCCATACAATAGCCAATCTACTGTTAGGCACAAGCGCATGATCGTGAATATGCATTGTACACCTATAACAATATGTCTGAGTTCCTTATGAGATCATTGGCCTAGTTACTTTAGGTTGCCAAGTTGTGTTGTGACATTTCACCTACCCAATTCCTCAGTCATCTATAGCAAATGTTGCCTGGTTGTAGCAAAAAGTGTGGACAAGTGCCTGGAGAATTCATCCAAAGTAAGTAATACGTTTTCCTGGGATTCAAATCAAAGGAGAAATCAGTTGGTTGTAGGTCAAACAAAAGAATGACCATCTTAAGTGAGCCAAAAATAAGAATTACATATTTGCTTATGGAGGATGTCCCTGATTGATCAAGAGGTGTTTGGAAGTGTATATCAAACCATACTCATGGCCTGACAGGCTCCAGAATATGTGGTCACTTTTTGTATGGATGCGCCAGTTTTCACATTCTGATCACATACAAATCCAATTTTCTGGTGGTAATGGACCAAGACATTCTATTGGTCATGCAATGCAAAGTAGCAGAGCACCTCGCCCAGACCAAGGTAGGTTATATCAGATTGGGTAGATGATCAGGCTTCCCTCATTTCTGACACTCACAAAGCAAAGTCCTACAAATCTCGATGTCATTAGAAATCATTTGCTCACAATCATCTTTCAAACTCACAGATCCCTGCTTGTATACTCAAAGGTACGTTCATTTAAACCAAATTCAAATCTAAAAATCTTTAATAATGTTTTCAAAAACAAAATTCTAAAAACAAATCTAATCAAGCTGCTCTAACTTTCTTGCTTTTTCGTTTTTCCTCTACACTCTCCTCCTTTTCTTAGGTCTAGGTCCACCAATCTTCAAAATAGTTTTATCTCTAACAGATCTAATCAATTCTCTAATCCCAATCCCCTGAGCACCCATCAAACTAGAAACAAAAGCATCTCTACCATTCCCAAATCCATCAAAAACGATTTCTATTTCTCTAGGTAATCCTTCTTTAATTGATCGTTTATTCAAATCGATCGAACTAACTGCATTTTTAGTTAAGATTTCGTTTGGATTGATTAATGATCCGATTCCAGACAGATTCGAATCAGCTCCTTGAGAAATTAATTCTTTGATTGTTTTAAACATAGCTAAAGTAGCTTGAGTAGCAGCTTCATATTCTTGTCGTTTGCCTCGTTTGAATCCTACACTACCAGCTGTCACTCTTGCAATGATGGCTCCAGCCATTGGAAATGCTTTTTGATATTCTGCATGTCCTGACCAAGATCCAGGTAGGTTTGAGATGGGTGTATGAGTAAGAGTTAGTCTTGTGTTGTTTGATGTAGATTTAATGATTAATGAATATGATGTACGTTCTCCTGATCGTCTTCTGATTGGATCGGAAGAAAGTTCAAATGGTGTACGCATCGCTCCAAATGATCTAGGTGAATAACGTGATTGATTTGATTCTCCTGTTTGATATCGATCATATCGAGGTTTAGGTTGTTGTTCAATAGGTTGGATTAGAGTTTTTGGTGTTCGATCAATGGGAGTTTGAGATTGACTTGCTGGAAGAACATCATCGAGTGTAAGTGTAGATCGCGGTTGAGGAGGTGAATCGCTTTCACTACTATAAGATCTATTGAAGCTGGTAATGTTAGATGATGATCGATTGAAGAAACGATGACAAGCTTGAGGTGTTGAGACAGGCTTGATGAATGTTGAGGATATCCGAAAGCATAGAATTCTTTCAAAAGCGGAAAAGGTGGACATAAGCGATGATTTTTAACAATCCAGAAGATGGTTAGGTAAGAACCAATCAAGCATAACTCACTGTGGATTGTTCATTGTTATTGTTGATGACTGGTGTCGCTGCCGAGGAGAATTTTGAAGGTGGTGAGGATCCGACTTGCATATATGCCCCAGGTGTCAACAGAGGATTACACATGCTCACCGCACTGTCGCCTCTTGTGAAACGTCAGTGACAGAGCTGCCGCTGTAGCTACCGATTGATTCCGCCAAGTGTAACACTCGAGTTATCAATCAAACCACCAAACCATCGAACACATCCACTTCGAATTCAAACTTACTCAACACATCCACCTCAACGAAAATGGCAGTAAGCTAACCAACACCAGCCATACTTCGTGATCCTTCAAGCTTTTCTAATCAATTTATTTAAATCTTTGAACGCTTTTTAGATTTCGAGCTTGATTTACAATACATTCATGAAACGTAACTCGGTTTACGTTTCAACAATCTTTGCCGGTTCATTTGCATTTTCTTTATCATTCGATACTATCACCACAAAATGGTGGGAAAACCATAACCGAGGTGTTAGTTTGATTTACCTTTATCGTGCTTTATTTTCACTCCAGACTGATTGGTTGATCATTTTTATCTTTGCTCAGAAACTTTGGTCAGATATTCGTGACAAGGTTTGCAAGAAGATTATCTAATGTCTTTGAAAATGATAATGTACTTATTTATATGCGATTTTATCTTTGGTTCTTTGATGCATAATGTGTAGGTCGTTTCTGAATAAGATCTCATTCGAAAAAGCAATACGCGCTTCGAGGAATCTGGATCTTGGTCATTACAGTTCTTACTTCAACACTGTTCAACTTTTTGAAAAAGGCATCAAATGTGATGGAGTGATAGAGCAAGATGGAGGATTTCAAAGACACATGAAGTTGATTGTATGCGTGATGAATGATGATCTAAACAATTCCTTAGATTTTCTAAATTTACAACCAATCAATCGAGCGACCTGATGAGTGCATTTACCAATCGGAAATGGTAAGCAGACTGAGCAAATCCGATCACTTCAAGTTCTCAAATATCGATCAATTAAGGATTTGATCGAAGTTTTTCTTTTGACAAGATGGATCTGATTCATGATTAGAATCACAATCGAGCATGAAATACATCATCTAGTAGAACACGAATGATGATGCGAGAACTCTACTCTCTTTCATCACTCGAATGCCTACCCATATCATAGCCAAAGCCTATTACCCGTACACGGACACCTTTTTAAACTGGTACATTCTTGCCTTCGTAGTGCATGTTGAGATTCATTTCATCGTGGCAATTGATAAACCACGCCGTCCTGAATCTGTTTATGACGCTGGTTTTCTTCAAGCTGGAAAGGCCCTCGCCCCGGCCCCGGCGCTCATGAGCTACCCCGAATCCCGCCCCCGCATTTCTCGGCAGAAAGCCGCGGGGAATGCGGTGACTCGGGGAGTCCACCACAAAAGAACAAAAAAAAAGAAAAGAAATCATGAAAAGGGGTGGTTGTGAGAACTCTGCAGCAAGTTCCAGAGCAAATTTAGGCAAGGATCTTTCTTCATTCCTTGTGAAGGAATTACAGCAAAGATTAGATGCATGCTACACAATTGAGCATCATATGGGCATTTGTTTTGAGGAAATCCAAACAATGATAGTAGTATAAGATCTATAAGTAGACACAGATTTGAATCCAAGAATGCGGATTCAATTATTCCAGGTAGATTGAGTCTCAGGGGGCTCCTGAGAAAAAAATGCTATGTAGTTTGAAGATTTTATAAGAGAGTCACCTTTGGTTCTTGCCCAGAAAAGTGACCACCTGATCATGTCTTCATACAAATCTGCCTTACTGCAACTCTTTTCTTACATATGATGGCCAAAGTTAATCTCACCAATGGCCCTGCTGCTGGTTCAAATGACAACCAGAGCTACACACCCTTTACCAAAAGAAGCTGGGTTTGGTCTCACTTTGACCCTACTACTTGTGCCAAAAAAAACTTCAGTGCACTGTGATGTCAAAGAGTGGGAAAGAATGTGGGACAGTCTTAGCTTGTGACATCCAATTTAGCATCAAGTGAATGTCAGATCATTTGATTGTCAAACACAATCTTGGAGCTCCCAACAAGAGGATCAAGCAAATGGACATGATAGACAGGCTCACAGCAACTGAGCAGGCATGAAGAATGGTGATATATTCTAACTTCAATCATATGGCAAATCACCCATTAATAATTGATTCTAATTACTCAACCACTTCTTGTTGTACTCTTGAAGCCCTGTCTGACCACTGCAGCTTTAAAGACTGAAATTGTTTGCCTGGTTTGTGATTGTGATTGTTTGTTTGCAATGATTGGGAAGGAATCTTCCAGAATGCTACTCAGACTTTGTAACCAAGAAACTACATCAGTTCTGGTTTTCTTGCCACTTGAGAGATTTCTTTTTCTTTCATTGAGAACACCTCCAAGGTCAACTCCTTGCCAAAGCTCCTGCTGTTGCGTACACACTTGATGTGCAGACCACACCTAACAAAACAGTTTTCATGGCTGTCACTGCTCATATGGTCAACTTGAAGTTAGAGAAGGTTGATTTCCTTCTTTCTATTCCCCTTATTGGCTTGTTGATTTCCAAGAGCTCACACCAGCAAAAACTTGGCAGATTTATTTATGGAGACCATCTCAAGTTATTGATTGGTGGTCTCAAGGATCTCTGTGCAATCACCATCCATAATGTGTTGTCAAACAAAAAAATGGCAATGACAATCAAGCCATCTTCAGGTGGAATTTTCAAGGCTGACAGGCACCTTATGGGATGTGTAGCACATGTCCTAAACCTAGCTGCTGTTGCAAGTTTCAAAGTCCTTGGCCCACTTGATGTTATATCAGAAACTTCAGACAATCTGCCAGCCAATCCAATGGCTTGGGAAATACCCATGGAGCTGTTTTAGCAGAAGGAAAATCTGGTCCCTAAGACCCATGTTCCCATCTGGGAGCCTCATTGAATCTGGCAGTGTATCAGTAGTCAAATGGAAGCAGCTTGAGATAATGATGAGCTTCCCCAAACCACTTAACAATACAACCAAACAATTCTGTGAAACTGAGTACCCTAGTACACTCAACACCGCCATCCCAATCTATATCATTGTGATCAATGAATTACAAGCTGTGTGTTAGTTCATGCCCTCATATCTTTCTCGTACTGTGATGCTGATTGATTGTACAGTCCCCTACCAAAATTATACGCAATTTGAAATTTGAGACCCCTCCACGTCACTAGCTCCATACACAAAATTCTGCAAAAGTTCAAACCACCCAAGCCGACTGGCTAAATCAAGCAAGGACAGGTTATCTGTGAGCAGGTATATAGCTTGTATACAATGAAATGCATGGATTTACTTGGTGTGAAAGAAAGGTTTCACCAACGGGTTGGTCCACCTTTATTTTTTATGACTTTGTTAAGTTGCTCGGGCATAGATTGTTAAAGTATAGTGTAATATTTGTTATGTCTTCTTTATCTTAACATAATTGATCTTAACTATTAAGTCTATTATTTCATATCTCATTTTTATTTTTGTTATTACTCATGCAGTCATGTTTTTCATATGTTACATTTATGTACTGTCTGTCATCATTATTAACCTAATTACCGTTAAGAAGATTAATGATATACCTCAAAGAGCAGCGAAGATGAGACTCCCTTCTTCATCCAAGATATTCTAATCACTCTTGGGTGTGAAGGTGAGTTAAACTCATATTCGTGGGAACTTTGATTGTTCATAGGTTCTGTTCTGAACTTAATCATTCCCTGCTCTGACAGGTATGTAGTTCAATTGTTTTCTTGTTATTTTTCATATCTTTGTGTTTCTTTATTTTGATGTGATGGAAATAAATACTGATCCAAGATATTCTAATCACTCTTGGGTGTGAAGGTGAGTTAAACTCATATTCGTGGGAACTTTGATTGTTCATAGGTTCTGTTCTGAACTTAATCATTCCCTGCTCTGACAGGTGAGTTAAACTCGTATTCGTGGGAACTTTGATTGTTCATAGGTTCTGTCCTGAACTTAATCATTCCCTGCTCTGACAGTTTCAACATAGATGCCACCAACGATTGTAGCTTATCATTTGGAATAGCCCACCACTTGCTGATGATGGCTGAGATCATCTCTTGGCGTGATCGAGGCTTGTCCTTCTTAGAAATCGTGTCCTTGAGGAGCTTCCAGAGATTCTCAATCGGGTTGAGATCGGGACTATTTGCCGGCCAGTCAAGTTTAATTAGGGAATGTTGTTCCCGCCAAGTGCTTGCTTGCTTGCTTTGGTGGACCGGAGGTCCATCCTCCATGAGTCTCAGATTGGGTGGACAATGAGGACTGTGAAGTAATTCAGCAAGACACTTCTCATAGACCAACTCCACATAGTCCAATGAAAGAGTACGGCCGGGAGGCATTACAACAATTGGGAGTCGAAAATTTGTTGTGAATGCACTCCATATCATCACTGATGTTCAACCACTTCGCAAAGTAGGAACTAGACAGTCAACGAGGTACTTTTCATGAGGCATTCTCCAGACTAAAACTTGTCTGGAGTTTTTGCCGATTTCAAAGTAGCACTCATCTGTCCAGATTACCCTGTTCCAGTCTTCAACAGTAAAGTGTTGGTACTTTTTAGCAAACTCTAGCCGTCTTTTTTTGTGTGTGTCATTGAGGGCTGGCTTCTTGGCCGCTACACATGAACGTATCCCCAGTTTGTGGATTTCTTGCCGGACAGTTGTTGAGCTGACTTTTGTGGGAAGGAGCTTGGTGATTTCAGATAATGTTGCCCTTCTGTTTTTCTTGAGGATTTGCTTCAAGGATTGTTCATCGTGTTTTGTGACAGCGTGATTTTGAGTCGTTATTGTACCGGTTTTCTTGAACTTTGAAATCACAGTATATACCGTTGTTGGTGGGCAGCCTAATTCAATTGCAATCTGCATGCCCCGCAGGCCTCCTTCATGCATCCCAACAATCCTAGCCTTCTCCTCTGGTGTCAAAGATTGAGGTTTCATGATTTTCAGGATGAATGCAATGTGTGAGTTGTGAGGAAACAGGCTTCAAGAACAACAGTTCTCTGGGCTGAGGTCAAAATACATTAATATTTACGTAAAATTTTGGTAGGGGAATGTACACCCCCCAAAAACCATGTATGCTACACATACAACACAAGTCAGCTTATTGCGGCAGCTTCTGACATGATTGAGAGGCTTGAATCTTATCTCATGGTGGTCTTGGAGAAGCCTCTACAAAACACATTTTGACTCTCTTGCCATGTATGGGCACTCAGAGTATTTGTTGAAAGCTGATTTCATTCAAGCTGCTCAGGCTTATGATACATTTGCAACTCCCAAAATCATCCACAATAACCAGCTCCTGCACCCTCTGCATTGCTTTACAACAATCTTTTTGGGGTACCAGCTGTCTGTGGCAAAGGTTTGGTCACAAATGAGATCACTTGTTACCTCCTTGAGCCACTTGAGCACAAAAACAATATACTTACATACTGGAATGGCAGGGTGAAGACTTAACCTGCCTTGTCTGCAATGGCAATCACATACCTGGCTATCCCAGCTACCAGCTACCCTTCTGAGCATGTTTTTCAAAGGTTGCACTGTCCTCTGCTATTCAAGATCATCACTCCATCATGATACTATTGAGTAGCTTCTTTGGGTTAAGGCGTGGTACTATGCCTTCTGTCCAGTTTAATTTGATGGGCTCAATGATGAGATATTATTATAAAAAACACAATTTGTCAATATGAAATTGAAAGTCTGAATTTATACTGCTCAGCACTAATACCTTGCCAATTGAGTCTTCAATTGTTGCATCAATTCCCACCTGTGCTGTCTGACTTTTTCACATGCACCCAAAGTTCAGGGAGCTTGGAGAATTTTCTCTGCTGCAGAATCCTGCCCCTGCAATTATTCTGGGTCCAAAAACACATCCTGACTCCCACCATGACTCCCTGGATCTACGGGGGTGGAGCAAAGGCCTAGCTGGAACCTTCTGGAAGATGTAAAGGTGGGTACAGATGCTACACTAATGGACAAGCACTTGCAGAAAAGATACAACACTAGTTTAGTCCACTGGCCCTGACCACATACCCGTAGTAACTACACAGCTATATGGTAGTCACCACAGTCAGGGCCAGCAAACTAAACTGGTGTTACATCTTTTCTGCAAGTGCTTGTATGATTTTTCTGATTGCATCAGAAGTCAGCATAAGAGGAAAAAGTAAACGTAAAATGAGAGAAAACAAATGAATATGAAGATGCAATGAGGGAAAGACAGAAGCAAGAAGTGTGTGGAGGTGTAGATAGTATTTGACCACAACTGTGGACTCATGATAACAAGTTGCAACCATCTTTGGCAAAGGTCATATTTGAGTTAGACATGAGACACAAGAGCCATCTAGATCTCAACTCTGAGTTTTGGTGTTGACCTTCTTAAGTGAGCTCTCCCCTAGCCCATCAAGTATCCTTATAATTCCATGTGTGCTTTGACTTGCAATAAGAGAGACTTGATTTTGCAAATCAGAGTCCCCCTGAGGCATGTAAAACAAGTGCTTACAAATATCCTCAAACCTTTGATCAAGAGGTAAAGTACAACAGGCCATTAGTGATGTACTTCCAATATGATCAAGTAACAGTCTTAGTGAGTTTCTCAACCTTTTGGGAACCTCCAGTGAATATTATTCATATCCTTGTTTAAGTGTGCTTTCTAGCAATTGACCCTAGCAAATGAAACTAAGACCACATCATGTGTCCTGCAATTTGTCCATGCTTCAAGCTCAAAGGTCAATCTTTCACCAACTCAGCTCACAATTTTCTGGAGTCACCTTGTCAGAAACAATCATTATTGAGATAATGATTCTCAATGATGATTTGAAAGGTATGAGACACCTAGTCATGATTGACACAAACCGGCTTCCCACTCTTTACTTTTAAGACTCTTTCCAAAAGCTCACAGGTAGTGTACAGCTCTGTATGTCAGTATTACACATGTATGCCCCAGAGGGTTCCAGCCTCAAGGGGACTGGCTTCAGCAAAGGTTCCAGGTCAGATTAGTTTATCAACCACCAAAAAGTTGGGTTCCAGCCATTTTTGTCACTACCCTCCTTTGAGAAATCAGCAGAAAACCCAGCCCCAGTCTATGTGATTTGGAGGGTCACAAGATAGTGTTGCAAGATCAAAAATAAAAAAGGGTGTGGTGTTTTGACAAGCAATACACGGGATGACATGGAAGTTTGATTTGACTTCCACAATGACAATGGAAAATCTTTTGATTTGCCACCTTATCAATTCTGCAGTGGGCACATTCTTCATTTGGCTTTGATAAAGGACATAAGTGTATTAGATTGGTTAGAGGTGTCTTTCCAGTATGTTGCTTCTTATTTGGTGGTCTGGTGACGGTGCTGCTGATTGAAACTTCGTGCACAAAGATAACCTCATCATCATTTGAATTATTGGCTCTGGATGGCTCTGGATAATGTGAACACTGAACATATCATTTGAAGCTTCTCAACTTTTTTTAGGCATTTTCTGAAGTTTATTGATGGTTTGAAGTGAAAATAAAATGTGATTTTTCTTATTTTGTGAAAGTATTGGCTCTGATTGGCTAACTTTTGCATACTTAAAGCTGCTTGATCTTGTTGTAGAGCTTGCTATACTTTCTGCATAGCTCTTTCTATCATAATATGAAATTCTATGACATTTCTTCCGGCTGTTTTATGTGATGAACTGTGGGAATCTGGCCATCACATTCTTGCCAAGAACAGCATTCCAACCTTTTTCTCATCAAGGTAGGCCTAAATCTGTACCAGTATCTGACCTTCTCCGTCACTATGCTCCACAGGTGCTTCACAAGGTCCCGATTTTTACATATAATTTCATACTTTCATCTCATCAGTCCATATACTCAATTCAAATAGCAAGAGAAACATAGATTAGTTATGACAATGAATTACAAGAATTGAAGGTTAAAAGGATAAGGTAAATCAACTCTGTTTTTTGTCCTTTATACAGAATCGACAAAACAAGAGTCTACTTGATAAATTGGCAGTTACTACACATTTTCTTCATCTTAAAATGCCACAATCATCGCTGGTTTGAAATTCTTAGACTAAAAGGATCAAAAAGAAAAAGAAAGTCAGTATGTCACACTTTTTGTAAAACCAGAAGAGTTTTCAAAATCGCAAAAAATCAAGCTTCAAATTACCTCTGCTTGCAGATGTTTAACCATTAAACCGTTCAATTTCTCTTGTTCATCAATATATTTCCTCCATTGGGCTTTCACAATAAGTTTTTGTTTCTCAACCGCTGCTTCAGTATCCTTGACAGAATCTTTTGAACCATCCTGATGAATGACAGGGGAAGCAGTGAGATTGGTAGGAGGTGAGCTTGTGATATTGGCAGCTGGTAAAACAGGGGAACCGGTAACGTTTATTGTCAAGGTGTTGGTAGCATTCATAGCGGGGAAACTAGTAGCGTTCGTCGCGGGGATGCTTGTAGAATCACTGGCTGAGGAAGGAGTGGCGCTAATTGATGGAAAATCAGTGGTATTGGCAGCTGGGACAGTGGTAGCGTTAATAGACGGAAGGCCAGTGGTATTAGCAGTGAGGGAAGTGGTAGCGTTGATTGATAGACTGCCAGCGGTATTAGCAGTGGGGGAAGTGGTAGCGTTGATTGATAGAATGCCAGTGGTATTAGCAGTGGGGGAAGTGGTAGCGTTGATTGATGGAAGACCAGTAGTGTTAGCGACTGGGGAGGAAGTAGCGTTGTTTGAGGTAATGTCAGTGGTGTTAGCAGCTGGGGAAGTAGTAGTAGCATTGTTTGCTGGAATGTCAGTAGTATTGACCACTGGGGATGTGGTAACGTTGCTTGATGGACTATCAGTAGTATTAGCAGCTGGGAGAACGGGTGAAGCGGTAGAGTTCACAGTAGAGTTCATCGTTGGAGTGCTAGTAAGGTTACTAGTTGGCAAGACAGGGGAACCAGTAGCGTTGATCGATGTACTACCAGTAGCATTGCTAGCTAACAAGTTGTTGGAGGCAGTAGCGTTTGCAGGTAGAAGACTAGTACCATTGCCAACTTTATCAGGACTGGTCGAAGCGTTAGCTACTGGCTGAGATTTATCTATCGCGCTATAGGCACCTTTAGTTGTACTAGAAGTAGATGAAGATGTACTAGAGGAAGCTGAAGATGCACTGGAGGCAGCTGAAGATGTCTTGGAAGAGATTGTGGATCCATTGACATCTCGTTTCAAAACCTTTTATTATCCAAAGTTTATAAAAATCATAAGTCATCAGTCAATGACTGTTTGTGGCTTCTGCAAGGTGAAAAGATACTTTTTTACTTACGTCTGTATTTTGATTCATTGAAGGTTCATAGTTAGATGGTATAGCTTGAATGTAAGAAATCATTAAAGTACTCAAAACAACTAAGACAAAAAAGGATTGATTCATCTTGAGAAGCCTGGGTTGATGTATAGTTTTACTAATGGAGACAAATCGTTACGATTGATAGGTGATGGAGGATGTTGGACAGTTTGATTCGCTAAGAATTAAGGAAAGTATTGAGTTACGAAGACGATATAGACAGAAATGAGGAAATTTGTTGAAGAATGATATGGTGCGCGTCGTTGAAATAGCTTCTTATAATCAAAATTCCTCATAGCATACATCGCTTTCAAAGTCCTATGTGATAGAAGGTGACCTACCAAGATGTGCTCTTCAGATAGATACGGGTCTAGATTTGCGTGTTGATAAAGTTGAGGAATTGCCTCGTCGGCCGTCGAAAATGCTTCGTGCTTGCTTTCACCAAACCCTATGCTACCCCTCAGATTATGATAGCAACGATACTGAACACACATGGAAAGCAGTCCCGTGATGAAAGGCTGTGGTGTTGATTCTCACCGCTCGTCGGTGAGCATTGTCATCAGTTGCAGACGTTTATCATCCCCAAGTACCGGGTCCATGACGTGCAAAGAAGGCAGTGCACCCATACAACAGGAACGAAGCCGAGATGGTAAATGTAAATAGCAATCAGTCACTTTTTGACATGACAATTGTTTCCCATGAGGATCTTCCCGATATCAGCCCGTTCGTATTTCGATCGGCTTCTATTTCACAACTTCCATACCCTGTAGTGATTTATCTTGTAGTTGAGAAAATGTCAACATTTCACTTTGATAACCATGGATCTTGTGAAGCCGGAAGCTAATCGATTTTACATGATTCAAGTCAAAATTGATTCATACCCATCAAAAAAGTTACAAGTTAAGTTTTACCCAATCAAATGATACACGTTGCGAAAATCCTCACGCACACAACACTCTGCAAGTTCTGTAATCTTATATGGTTCAAAATGAGCAAAATTGTATGTTTCTTTTGAATAATCTTGGATTTATATACAAAAAATAAAGTTTACATGTGGATTTTCAATGAGTATGGCTTGGTGTCATGTCATCTTTGCGTTAGAAAAGTCCATCTCGGGATGAGCTGCTTTGAACTTCTCTAACATCTATAAATTCATTCAGAAACAAATTCTTCAGTCAGTTTGAAATTTCGTTTTAGAAGATACAAAAATCACATGAAGAAAAATGAATACATACGTCTAGCTTTTTCTGTTCATCTGATGTTGGTTTTCCGAGTTGTTTCTGTTGATTATCAAACTAAATAGCCAAGAGATGATATCTTCAACTTTCTAAACTCTTTACTGATGATAGACTGGAAAAAGAGTCTTGCGTACCATCATTTTCTCTACCATTGCTCTTGTTTCACCATCCAATTCACTTAATTTACTATTCTCAGGGTTAATCTTAGTAGTATCAATCTTAGGATGATGAGTCAACACGTTCTCCCACCATGTCATCTGGTTAACTTTTTCTAAATGAACATTGACTTCTTTCTGTTCATCTGTAAAAACCAAAAATACCATCTACTATAAACCAATTTTTCGAAACCAAACGGAAAATATATAAAATAACTGACCTAGTGTCCAAGTAGATTCATCTTCTTTAATATCTTTACAAAGTTGTCCTTCCATTATCGCTTCTTTTCCTTTCAATCCTACTTTTAGTTTATTCTTTTTAATCTCGACTGTTAATTCTCTAGCCTTTGTTCCTTGAGGTACAGGTACAATGAGAGTTACGTCTTGTAAAGTTTGTTTCCAGGTATAAGGTAGCTCTATGAAGACGAACAAATCAATGAGCTTTGAGCCTATCAAAGTAGTTGTCAAACACCGCTTACGAGCTTGTTCTTCTTTCTCTCGCTCCGCTTCAGCTGTATCATGAGCTTTACGTTCGTCCGGTGACAAGGCATCGTACTCCGTCGGGGTTAGCTTGGCCATGATGGTTTGATAATCGAAGTCCTTAAAGGGATTTGATGAATGTTTTTTGTGGACTCGGTTTCGAGCATTTTCTTTCGGAGTAGGAGTGTATGTATGCGGCCTTTATGACCTAACCCTATGTGCACCACGGATGCGAGCGCGGCGCAAAGCGCACAGAAACGTTGCACCCGGGAGCGCCCAAAAAGCCGAAAACATGGAGGGCGCGGTTATTTCACAGGCTGTGACAGTTTAGCGTCACCCACCTTGATCACAAATCCTTGGAAAGGACTTTAAGTATACTTCATTCCCAAAGAATTGGTCAACATCAGTCCAATTGATACCCATTGGGTTTTTCCTGCTCCAAGTTGTTTTCACTTGAGAACGCGCTTAGCTAAGCTTAAAGAAGGTCATAGTTTGATTTCTTATCAATCAGACTTGATGTTTGCCGCGGTTGGTGGGACTTGTGTCACGCCAGGAATAATGGAACGGTAAAGCTTCATTCAGCTCAGAATCAGCACGTTCGAGATACAATTCATTTTGGTTGGTTTCGCAACTACACACTGATACTTATTTGTTGATTGAGTTCAGATGACCCAGGTCTCCAAGAATTATCAGGCATTTATTCCAGTTTGTTACACACAAAGAAGCCCACAAAAACATCACAACGGTTCGATTACAGGCTATTGCAGGATATGACAACATTGACAAAATATATAAAGTGGTGATTGAGTACAAGTTCAGAATAACGCGTATCTCCGGCCGCCTCCACAGCTCAAATTAACATCTTCAAAAAAATGAAATGATGAAACTCGAGCATGAACAACCCAACAAACAAAGTTGAAGGTGGTGGAAAAAAGCCTAAAGGTCATCGAGCCTGATGTTTTAAAGTAAACCAGGAGGATTTCTCGCTTAGATGAGATACGACGTTTAAAATCATCAACACTTGTAAACAACTGTGGCTCAATTGAGCTAGTGAGACAAACAAAAACGGGTATCTACTGTAAATAGATCCTGAAGAGCTAAAAAAGATAGAAAAAAGAAATGGGTTAGTGAGAATGAAGATTTTGGGTAAGATGAGATCGGTGTATATTGGGAAAATTGGAGGCTCACTTTGGTCTTGAGGAAAAGAGACAGGTTGGATTTCAGAGCAGATTATATAGTGGCCTCTTTCCGGCCAACATGTGGGTGAGTCGTCATCATACATCATCGCCATACTGAATACCGTAGTGATTGAATCTGAGAGGCAAAATGTCTGAGCACCTGATTATGATAAAGCTCCATATCCTGGACCTTCTGTGTCTTTTTTCTTTGACTACTTTTTTAACGTGTCAAAGCTTTCCTTCTTGGGTACAGTTTTGATTTCAAGTCAGGTCTGAATGACCAGCGCAACGATCAGTCCATGATCATTGAGGACAAGGCAGATTTATTTGAAGTAGTATCTTTTCATTCAAAGGACAGACTCTTTCTGCGATTACTATTGCGGGGTCGAATGCGATGACCGCCATTTTGATTCACATTAAATGTACTTGGTTAGTTTATGATTCGTGTTTCGGATCTCAATTGACAATGAGGACGAAACTTTTTGTTGTTTATCCAGTAAGTGAATGTCAACACATGCTCGTTAGAATGAGAAACACTCAAACCTGAACCAAAATAGAATTTGTGTGGATCACTTTCTTGACTGATTGAATGTACAAATTGGAAAGATCATTGAATATTGCATAACATTTCGAAAACATCATTCTATATCATTCATAAATCAAATTCCACAATCTATAGATTAACCACAAATTTCGAGGTTTATAACTTCAGCGCAATTTAGATTATTCCCAAAACGTATGCTATCGAACTACATCCACGAACAATAAGTCTTGACTCAATTCTTCTAATCGAATTTGATCTTTTTAGCTGTGAAACAACGAAATCGATATCAATATCAATTGATCAAAGCTGATTTCAAATTTTGAAGGAAGACATGAGTAAATTTACCTTTAACAGTAGGATCGATATCTTTCCAATGATCACCATAAGCAGCATGCTACAAGAAAAAAAACAATATATACATTAATCCCACTTCTTTCATCATCACACTAAAACTTGTACTGAACTTACTGTCTTTTTCTTAATCTGACCTCCAAATTTTTTCAAATCTTCCGGTACGACCTAAACAGAAAAAACAAAACTCAATCTCGTCAGGATTTATGAAAAATGATGTCAAAATCGAAAGAAACATAATACTAACTTGATTAGCATCTTTCAATACTCTCATCAATTCACCAGCATGAACTTTATCTTCATCAGTAAAGAAAGTAATACTTTTTCCTGTTCTACCAGCTCTACCTGTTCTACCGATTCTATGAATATAATCTTCAATAGTTAATGGAAAGGTTACATTGATGACAACCTATAAGTGAACAATATGATCGTTAGATCTTATTTTAATAAGAGTCAAGCTGAAACTTTAGTACTGACCTCTACTTTAGGAATATCAAGTCCTCTAGCCGCAACATCTATACAAAAAAATCCAAATCAGTAAGCTTGAAACTTCAAAACTCTTAAACCCCTAAAGAGACCTACCAGTAGCGACTAAGATGGTAGCTCTACCAGACTTAAAGTCTTCTAAAGATTGACTTCTTTTATCTTGAGACATATCACCTTCAATGCAACAAGCTCCGAATCCTTTCCTGAGCAAGAACGCATGTAACCGTTGAGCTTCTTTTTTATAAAGAGCAAACACAATCACTTTATCTTTCTTCAAATTAAACCCTCCACTTTTTTCTAATGTCTTAAGTGTTTCAAATAATTTAAATTCTTTACCTCTTGTATCTGGTAAAACTTCGACTGATTGTTCTACACTACAAGAAGCTGAAAGTTGATCATCTCCAACCAAAATCCTGACAGGATCCTTCATAAAATCAGATGCTAATCTTCTGACTGATAATGGCCATGTGGCTGAAAACATGGCGGTTAATCTTGTTGATGAACCTGTGGTAGATTTCGATGGTAAACAAAGGTTGATGATTGCTCGAATATCATTCTCGAATCCCTATTTGCAATCAATCAACTAAATCAATCTTATAATCATCAAAGGTGATGCGAAAAAGAAGACTGACCTTATCAAGCATTCGATCAGCTTCATCTAAAACTAACCAACTAACATTATCCAATTTCAAATGACCTTCATTAGCCAAATCTAATAATCTACCAGGAGTACCAGCAACAGCTCTAACACCATTTTCAGCTTGAAGAGCCTTTCTTTGAGCATTTTTGTCTACTCCTCCATAAACACATAACGTTTTAATGGGTGGACTCGTCAGTTTCCCTAATTCTGATAAAGTCGATTCAGTTTGCATAGCTAATTCACGGGTTGGAGCTATTACTAATACGCTGATGGTCTTTACTTTAGGTGTAGATAAAATATGCTCAAATGCAGGAATTCCAAATGCCAAAGTTTTTCCAGACCTGAAAGAACAAATCGAAACCGAAAAAACAAACCAATGAGAAAAAAAATCATTCAAAGAATTAAACAAAAGTTGGTGTTATAAGAATCTTACCCAGTTTCTGCGATTCCTACTACATCTCTTTTGGCAATCAAAACTGGCCAAACAGCTGATTGAATCGGACTTGGTTTTTCGAATTTCAAAAACGCCTTTTCTAATGGGTTTGTAACTTTAACTTGATCGAATTTCAAAATCGGTGGGAATTCTTGGAAGATTCCGGTTGGTTCATATGTGATTTTGTTAGTTGAAATGAATGTTTGTAAGTCTTCTTCTGATGGAAGCGGGGTTGAGGTTGTTGGTTTGGATGGGTTTGGTGGGATAGGTTCTTTCTTTGAAGCGTTATCTGGTAGAACGTATATTGAGATTATGTTAGTCGTGGGTTGGAATCTATACGATGAGATCAATGAGGAAAATAAAGAGTACATACCCTTTTTGCGCGGTTTTCTTGGCTTCTTCTGTTCAACGGGCTTCGAATCGGGTTGAGGCAGAGCTTGATCGTTAGATTCAGTCGTAGCAGGTTCTGATGGAATGCTTGGTTTTTGAACTGATTGAGTTGGTTCTGTTGTAGTTTCTTTCGATTCCACTTTCGCAACGTCCTCCGTCATCTTTTCATCAGCAGAATCATTTACAAAAGCTTCCGACATGACTTTCTTTTTCCTCTTCTTTCGACCACCTTCTTTGACCGGAACAGACTCTTGTGGCTTATCTTTTGGAACATTGGCAGTTAAGGGTGATACATGAAGACTAGGTTTTGGAGTAGTTGTCTTGGTACTTCCATCCTCGTTTGATTCTCCTACTGTTCCTTTATTTTTCTTTCGTTTTTTCTTCTTTGATTCTTGTTCTTGTTGTTCATCAATTTTAACCAGTTGTGGTACACAATCTACAAAAAAACTTGAATCTTCTTTCTTCTTTTCGTTTTCGTCTGATTGAATTTCTTTTCGTTTTTTCTTTTTTGATTTTTCATTTGTACTTTGATTTGTTGCTGTATTCATCTCTGATATAATCTTTGTTTCTGATTTGCTTTTTTTCTTATTTAGTTTTTTTTCTTTTGAATTTATTTTTTCTACTTTTTCTTTTTGTTCAGAGTTTAGTGATACGAAATCTGCATTTGTGTCTAACAGTGTTTGATTCGATGTTGATGTACTCATTTTCTTGAGAATATCTTTGATGTAAATTTCCAGGTGTCTTCAGTCGATAGTGGTGTGAGGATGGTCATCAAAAAATTCAAATCTGGAGAAAATGTTTAATACAGCTCTGAGGTTTATGGTTGGTTACATATCACAAGCTTACATACACAGTTTAGCATTTACATACAAAGTGCATGCCTTACCTTATCACTGACAGTGATAAGCATTCACTTTTCTCTCTGCCCGGTCATTTGAAAATTTCATAATTCCTCAGAGTCAGACTCACAAGACACATATTTTGAATTTCTCCACTTACATTTTGCCGTGGTTGTGACTTGTAAGTTTTCGTATCTCATAAAGACGGATAAATTTAATGCGAATCAAAATGGAGGTCATGGTATTCGACTCCGCAATAGTAGTCGCAGAAAGAGTCTGTCCTTTGAATAAAAGCATACTAAATACTTCAAATGGATCTGCCTTATCCTCAATAATTATGGACTGATCGTTGCGCGACCTGACTTGAAAACAAAACAGTACGTTAAAGTCCTGAAAGAGTGAAAGTAGTCACAGGAAACAAGACACAGAAGGTCCAGGATATGGAGCTTTGTCATAATCAGGTGCTCAGACATTTCCTCTCAGATTCAATCACTACGGTATTCAGTATGGTGATGATGTATGATGACCACTCACCCACATGTTGGCCGGAAAGAGGCCACTATATAATCTGCTCTGAAGTTCAACCTGTCTCTTTTCCTCAAGACCAAAGTGAGCCTCCGATTTCCCCAATATACACTGATCTCATCTTACCCAAAATCTTCATTCTCACTGACCCATTTCTTTTTTCTATTTTTTTTTTAGCTCTTCAGGATCTATTTACAGTAGATACCCGTTTTTGTTTGTCTCACTAGCTCAATTGAGCCACAGTTGTTTACAAGTGTTGATGATTTTAAACGTCGTATCTCATCTAAGCGAGAAATCCTCCTGGTTTACTTTAAAACATCGGGCTCGATGACCTTTAGGCTTTTTTCCACCACCTTCAACTTTGTTTGTTGGGTTGTTCATGCTCGAGTTTCATCATTTCATTTTTTTGAAGATGTTACTTTGAGCTGTGGAGGTGGCCGGAGATACGCGTTATTCTGAACTTGTACTCAATTACCAGTTTTTATATTTTGTCAATGTTATCATATCCTGCAATACCCTGTCATCGAACTGTTGTGATGTTTTTGTGGGCTTCTTTGCGTGTAACAAACTGGAATAAATGCCTGATAATTCTTGGAGACCTGAGTCATCTGAACTCGATCAACAAATAAGTACCAGTGTGTAGTTGCGAAACCAACCAAAATGAATTGTAGTTCGAACTTGTTGATTCTGGGCTGAATGAAGCTTTACCGTTCCATTATTTCGGAAACTCTAAAAACTAAACTCCTTGACCGTGCTACGACCTAAAGGAGCTTATCAGCTCGGAGGGTGCCATCTCATCTTTCGTTTAGAATCATTTTTAAAGTAAAGGTGTCTACATACACATACACTTGCTAGGATCACGATACCTCTGTCAAGGAAGATGAAAACTTTTTAAGCTCTCTGATATATATGTACTAGGCAAAAGGCCATTTTGAAACATGGTCTTGGTCTTCATTTTGCTAGAGTGGTGGGTACCTAATTACTGAGTCGCGTAATTATTTGAAGAGTTTCCTATCACTGATAACGAAGGATACAAGAATTGCCGAATGTCAATGATATTTAAACGAGAGATGAATTGACGCACAAAAGAGGGTGTGATGGGGCTCAACTATCAGATATCACAGTTGAGATTTTTACCATTACAATCGCCATTTTCGCTTCCAAAACCGAACCCACCATAGCAGATACGTGACGCTCAGGTTCACTTCGTTATCCATCCAGCTCGATTTATGAATTACTGTCGTTTTCGAAAAGCTTGTCCAAGTTTGCCCGCAAGACTCGATCAGGATGAGCCCCGAGACCCGCCAAATCGGGGATACCCGCGGGACAGCCCGTCGGGTCGGGGGGTCGTTCTGGCCTTCGAAGGGTCGCAGAACCGCGGGGATTATCGGGCCCGGGAGTCGCTCTGAGAGTCAAAAGAAAGTGACTCTCCTCGGGGAACCCGAGGAAAAATCAAGCTGTAAAAAGCGGATAAATACACGCTTGGGAGAGGTTGTGCTCAGCGGTTTCTGCCGGAAATAGCCGGGGACTCGGGGATCCCCGTAATTTCCCGGGGATTTGGTAGTTCGTCGGGGGTCAGGGTACGGGAGCCGGGCTTGACCTATGAGCCAGAAAAAGCTCGGGGAATACCGGGGTCGGTCCTCGTTCTGACTTTTGAAAAAAAGTCGGTGGGCCGGGCAGCCCAGTCCCCGGCATTCGGGGGTCGGGGCTCATCCTGAAGACTCGAGCAGCTTGGCGGGAAAACTCGGACAAGCTTTTCGAGAATGACAGTATCGATCACAGGGTCAACCCTCAAGGGGGGGGCTGACTAAATTTGAAATTCCAAAAAAAGAGGAATTTCAAATCTTTGAAGATAAACAAATGAGATCATTCTCTCGCACCAACCAACATCACTGACACCACGCACGCCGTTATATCCCCAGAACTATTCAAAAGGGAATTGGCAAATCTTAATTTAGAGATCCAAAAAGGGTTCTCCCAAGGGTTTAAGTGACAATATCAGGTCTTCCCTCGGCCTCGGGTTTTCCTCGGTCTGGAAAGACCTTGGTTTTGGGAAACCCTCGGCCTCAGTGATGAGGCTTGTTCACGCGGATTGTGCTCATTGTGCATCACCGCGCCGAAAGCAAAACCGCGCTCCAGCGCATCAGCGCACGAATGAAATGAGCACGAACAGAACCAAACTTGCATTTACACACAGACGAGAGCGCAATACTAACGACTAAAGAGCGAGGAAACGGTGAAAGAAAAAAATACCACCTATACTTTACCGCCGTCCCACAATCGCCGCCGTGGCGCGAAAATGGCCAAACACACTTGAGAGATAAATTGAGAAAACTGATTCACAAGTTACGACAAATTATGATCGTGAAACTGAAAAAGTAAAGAGAGGCTACCTGCCGGAATAACGGACATACCTTCATGATGCGTTCCCAAGGTCGCCGTTGCTTTTGTGTTTTTGACGTCTTTGACTGACTGCTTGGATGGGATGGATACTATAGCTCTACGAGATGAGCCAACCTATCAAAAGGCTTCACATAAGCAAGCACAAGGAAATGAGAAGTTGGATATGTGGGCATCTTTACAAGCTGCATCAGATTATAAGCTTACTCATCGTCATCAGACCATCCAAGTAGTAAGTTGAAGACGTCAAAAGACAAAGCACAATCACGTGTCAGAGAAGAGACGACTAATCAAACCAAGCTCTGAATAGAGAAGACCGGCTTACAAGCTGTAGATGCCTCCACGGCAGACTTCCAATCTTCCTAGTTCAAAGACTTCAGTCCAAACCAATACATCATGTTTTAGACTGATTGAATGATGAAAACACTCTGATCAAGTGAGGATAGGATTTGAGAGTTGACTTACAAGTTTGAGATGACAGGCAGCACTATTTGCGTTAAGAGTAGCTTGTGAACTACACAAGAAAAGTCAAATAAGTGATCTACTCAACCTAGCAAAGCTCTCGAGGTAACTGCAAGTCGGCTTTCACTAAAATGAAGAGCCTTGATATCATATGGTACCATATGAGTTCTTGAGCAACTTGTCAAATTCACACTCGACCTTGCATACCAAATTCAAGAATTTAGGAATCATACTTTCTTTCAACTTGTGTAAAAGAAAGCTTACCCATCTACTCTGATATCAGCTTTTGAGCTCATATACCATTCAATCAAATACAATTGTGTCATCCCATCCATTGAGTCATCTTGGGCTGCAAGCACTAGCCAATTTTCAATTAACGAACCTAAGATCAAAGATGTATCGACCCCACTTTCCATCTCAAACAACCATACCAATGAACCTGTGTGCTGATCTGATACTTCTATTGTCCTGGATCCAGTTTCTTCATTAAGTTCAACAACCAGGTTCGGATCATGGTATTTGAACAAAGCTGACGGGCGATAAGATCAACAAATTTTGGGAAAGTGTGTCATGATTACGCGGAACTCGGTGCAGTACGACGAGGAAAGCAGTGCGTTGAACAAATTTTGGCAAAGTATGTCAAGATTACGAGTGACTCAGTGCAGTACGAGGAGGAAAGAAGTGCGTTGAACAAATTTTGGCAAAGTATGTCAAGATTGCGAGTGACTGAGTGCAGTACGAGGAGCAAACCAGTGAGTTAGAGAACAATATTGCCAAAGCGGTGTCAAATGGCCCATGTTGACGATCCCCCCTCCTCAGGACAGCGTCCTGGTCAGCAAGCGCAGCGGCCAACCAATTTGCCTTCAGCAAGGGAATACGACCCCCATCGCACCTTCTTGAATTCTTGGCTTCACGGTGTCTCCTACCGTCAGTGAAACGGACGCATCTTTGGATCCAATTGGGTGCGCCTGCAACACGCCATCCTTGCGTTTGCGTCTCACAGCGCTAAAGATCCGCAACACAAGTCGCTCAGGCATCAAAGCATCGGCAGTCGCGTCAATGTTTTGATCCCGCTGATTCCTGAAACGCAACTTTTGATGAAAACATTGACCCCGCGACGCTACGTCCGCTTCCTCACCTCGAGTCACCGCGACGACGACGATCTCCGTTTCGAGAACAGCGACGTCCGCCGGACTTTTGATTTGATTTCCAGAGACCCCACGGTCCAAATTCCCAATTCTCTTCTCTCACCAAAATCTTGTGTCGCATTACCGAGCCCCATACTGAAAAGTTCTGGGGATATAACGCCAGGGCTGACGCCACTAACCTTCGAGATGATTCTCCCTCCTTGGAATTTTAACCAAGAACCATACCATCAAAGAACGGCTCAAAAGCAAACTATCCAAAGTATCTTTTTTGCTTTTTGCCCATATCCATTCACTTTCAACTCACTTTTCTCTTTTTTCTTTCCAATAGACCATAGCAATCATCACTACCGCCGCAGTGTTCAACCTACCCACTGAGCACACGACATCGAATCGAAGCTCGTTTCTAATCGACAAGATCTACACCCGATTCAAAGTTGTTTTATGATAACTTATCATATCATCTTTCCTTGTGATTGATTCTATGATCCCATCACCACGACAATAATTCAGATCTAGATCAGGGAAGTGCTGACATGTTGAGACACGACCTTTCAATATTGAAAAAACGCAGTGTAGCTGAAACCAACAAAGAGATTATGTAGTCAGAAACCGGTCCACTTCTTATCATTTTCATCCCTAGTAAATCTTATCACATTGCAAGATTAAATCACCACCTTCAAGATTTCAAACATTCATCTTGGTTGTATGAGGGAGCCATATATGTGACCCCGATTACCCAAGATTTTCGAGATTTCAAACATTCATCTTGGTTGTATGAGGGAGCCATATATGTGACCCCGATTACCCAAGGTCTTCAAGATTCAGAAAAGCCAGTACTACAACATGAATCCCTAATTGTTGATCAACTTGTCAACACAGCTGATTGCTTAACAGGAATGTTGACATACATTCCACAAAACAGCCAAAAACAAGTTTAGGCACAGATGGTGAGGTCCATGATGTGAAAATAGTAGTAATACAACCATTGGTTGTCTATTTGACGTGGATCAATCTGTGACTGCAGCCTTTAAGGGGTATGGGGTGATTGATTAAATGGAAGGAAGAATTGTAAAACAATAACAAAATATCGGTAAGGACTGGATATATTCCAGGCTATTGAGGTGAAATCTTTGAGTGCTTTTAGACCGTTGGCTTTGTAAATGTTACATTTTGGCTAACTTAACCCAAGACATTTTGGCAATTCATTTGAGGTTTGTAATGCACTGTTCAGGTTGCTTAAGATTTTGGACCCAGTTCACTCTCGAGCATTGTGGATTATCAATCAAGACAAGTTGTGGATCATTAATTAAAAAAATAAGCAGCTTATCTGGAAATCTTCAATGGTGGGTTTAGGTTGCTTGCCAGAATACAATCGACTTGTGGTTCCTGGCCTGATCAGGATCCTGTTTGCATTAATATATCACTTGCTTCATCAGCCATCTTTTGAGTCAGATTGGTAATCGATAAAATTGACAAGCCATCTGATCTCACACTGGTATATATCCTGCCAGGGATCTCTTTTCGATAATGTTTTCTTCACTCAGCTCTGTCCAATCTTTATTTCGTAACATCCCTCCCCTATATACCTATAGACTTTTCACAATGAACTTTAACTACCTCACCGAATTTCTAGGCTGTTTTATTCACACATTCTTGCTTGAAACAATCAAGATTTCTGGAAACCTCCATTGGTCACTCAATGTATTCATAAACTTTCTCTCAACTATCATCTTTTCACTTTCACTTATCTTTTCTTCTCTTCTGCAACCCCCTTTCAAAAGTTGACAATTGCCTACATGTAAGTCTTTTCTTTCCATTTCTCAGTTGATCTGATCTCGAGCTAAAATATACCTTGCCATTGTCTTTGAAAGCTATATCTTGAGCTTCATGTCAATCTATTCCAGCAAATATTCTTGTCCACGCATGTTAGGAGCTCATGTGAGCTCCGGTATAACCCTTGTCCTCATGGTATGGTATTTTTTTCTTCGTTCTTTGATCTAATCAACCCCGCTGACATTTCCTTTCATAGATCTTCCATGACTTTCCAGCAATCGATGTAGTTCCTTACCTGTTCTCTCAGCTGCTTGGTGCTGTTTCCGCTGTGCTTTGTGTCCGTGGCTTACACAAAGCATTCATTTCCTTCAACATTGGCCATTCGATGTTGTCTGTTCCAACAGCAGATCATCATAGCATGTTTGTATTTTTCTTTTCACTATTGGCACAAAAAAAACTATGATCACTAATCTTTCATTGTTATTCGACTCCTCAAACAGAATTATTGGATTTGGAATGACGTTCTTTTTGGGATTATTTCTCGGCCTTGCCACCCTCAAATGCAATCAACAGATTGGCAAAGTATTTGTTGGTGGCCCCGGATATATCTTTTGGCTGTAAGTTTTGCAAAGCATGCTTTCAAAGTAGTGTGTATGATGTCGATGTTCTTGTTGAACTCATCACGCTTCTTACAAACTTCTTCATCAAGCGCCCTCCTATCTTTGGGATCAATTGTGATCTTTGAAGGCGATATCTTTCTCAACACCGCTCATGGAATCGGAAGGTAAGTCAGACTCCTTTACCAGTATACATAAAGCTTTGGCTTAACTCGACTCTTGGGTGCTTTTTACTTTAGTTGGATCTCTACTCTCATTCTGAGAGATGAGGTATTTCTTTTCAGTTGGACAAACATTATCATCGTTTTCATAAACATACCAGCTATGATGGTAAGATCCCTTCACGTTTCCCTCCATTCTATCCTTTCCATGCTATTTCAAGTACTGAGATGCTTGTAATGCATACATTTCAGCTCGGAGGGGTATGGTTCAAACTAGAAGGCCGCCAAGAAGACTCAAAACTAGAATTGAAAGAAAAGCCGATCGAACTATCTGAATGTGTAGTCATGGGCTGATGTTCATGATTATATAACAGTCTGTAACCGAACCGTTGTGATGTTTTGTGGGCTTCCTTGCGTTGTCGCGAAGTGGAATAAATGTCTTTTCTTGACCATGGTCTTGGTCTCACTTGAGCGTTCGTTTTGCTAGAGTAGTGGGACCTGATGACTGAGTTGCCGAATTATTTGAATACCTTGCCATTGAACCTGAGGTAAGAGTGATAGGATTGCCGATTGCCAATGGTGTCTAAAAAAGAGATGAATTGACGCACAAAAGAGGGTGTAAAATGATCTGAGCTATCAGATATCACAGTTGAGATTTTGATAATTCGATGCTTCGCAATCGCCATTCTCGCTTTCGAATCAAAACCGAACTCAACATAACAGATACCTCATTCTCAGGTTCACTTCGTTATCCATCCAGCTTGATTTATGAGCTATCGATTTACTCAAAACATAGCTCTCCTGCATATGATTTTTTCCGGTCAACACCCAGATCGCTTACTCTGGTGTTTGAGACACCGAAGCCGAATCAACCATGATCTTAACGAGAGGGTGGTATAGTCTCAAAGTTGTCGATCTCACTTTACCCTTGCCCTAAAATCCGAGTACAACATTTGTCTTCTTAGAATGCCCAACGTGGCATTTTAACTGAAGCGAAAAGGAAGACTTCTTTTATGTATGTACTTGGATGTGAATCAACCTTTCGACCATGGCATCTTTCCAAATTCCTCATGTATGCGTTTCTTACTTCTCGTAAACCGTTTCAAACCACACGGTAAAGAAACTTTATCAGTCGTTCAGTTCGACAAAAACAATCGAAGTTCGAACTGGTCTAGATAACTCTTGTTAATGATATCTTGAGTTGAATTTTTTAGATTTTGAAGAAATCGTTCAACTTCATATCATCTTACACTTCTCTTCCTCACTACCTTTTCATAAACTAATCTTGACTAATTCTAATAATAATTTATATATTTTTATACTCAGCAGTGCTGAATCCTTTTTGTAAAACCAATCAACCAAATCCTAAACCGACAACCAAGAAAGTCAATTTTCAAGTCACCTTGAACTTGACCGATCCAAGGATCTTCGAAAAACGATGTCATCAGAAGACCAAATCGATTATAAACAATCCATCATCAAAGGAATCCTAGGTTCTCAAATCCTTTCGGTTCCATTCTCATGTACTCTATCAGCCATCGTGATCATCTTAGCGGCTCGATTTATTTCGAAAACTTCTTCATCTCAAAACATTCATACCTCTTTTTCGGTTTCAGATATCCAATCTATTAGATTACTTTTCAGTAAGATTGGCGCTTTTTTTGTTGCTTTTGTTTGTGTGGCTATGACTGCTATGGAATTAGCTGTACGTTTGTTTCTTTTTTCTTTTTTCGAAGGGTTTTTGAACTGGAGGTGAAAAGGGTTTAATTTGATTCGGGTTTTTTCAATAGATTGTTTATCAAAGTGCTGTTATACATCCTGGTGATATAAATTATTTAATGAGAGCACCATGGACATCTTCATTAGTACCTCTTCTAACTGCGTAAGTAATTTCCATTTTCTCGTAATTTCTTTTTCAATCAAAAAACTAATACGTTCTTTTTCGCATCACCAAATAGTCTTGTTAGCATTGCTACTCAAACTTATTTTTCTGATAAGACTTGTCATGTTGTACAATGTCCTAAATTATTTGTACCATTACTTGTAATCTTAGGTATCGGCTCATTAGTCACTGGAATAGCAGCAAGTGTTTCATTATGTAAGTCTCCTTTTCCTTTTTCTCTCTCAATCAAAATTATTAATGGCTTTCGTGTGCTTTTTTGGTTGGTCAAGTTACGATTGGAGTTGAAAGAGGAGACCAAATCACTTCGTCTGAAGGTGTATTTTGGTCTTATTTAGTGATCACTACTCTTTCGAGTTTCGTAATCATGATTCCATTATTATCTTCTTATTTTCGTGATACAAAGGTTTCAAGAATCGAAGCTTCCCGTAAAGCCAACACGTCAGTTACTCTCTCTTCTCTCTCCTCCATCTTTTTCCATCACTCATTAACTTATGAACTTTGTCATTTCTACAGTCTCAAAGGACCTACTAAATTTTCAAAGTTTATGAGATTCTTTTTTTCGACTTATACCATGGTCTTTTTATTTGATTTAAGTTGTTTGATCACTTCGATCTTATCTGCTTCACCTATTTTTCAAGTTAGTTTAAAATCATCTGAAGCCTTTTTAGTTTTACAAAAAATGATGGTTAGAATCATGTCGATTTCTTATCGTAAGTCTTTGAAATTATTTAACCTTTTTTTCTTTGGAAAATGGAATTTATGTCGTGTTTTTTTTGGTTTGTAGTTTGGGCTTTGGTTGATGGGATTCCTAAGAATCCTAGTTTTGAAAATCCTACTGATCAACCAAATCATTCGGTGACCAAAATTAAGAAATCATCCAACTCTCGTAATTCCAGAATCCATAGTGTTAGCTCTAGCGCATTTTCAAAATATTCCGTATCAAAATCCGTAAGTTTCTTCCTTCAAACCTCATACACATTATAAACTTACTCGTCTTTTTTCCTTTTTTGTGGTTCTCTTCTAAAACAGGGAAAGATCTCAACAGATGATGATGAAGAAGGAGATGAGATCTTTACTTATGCTTACCCCCCTTATTCTACTAGTCCAATAGCCGTAGATGTAAGAGTAGACTCATCACCAGATCCTACACCTATCACTTCAAATTTTAATAATCAAGTTGGAAATGATTATTCTAATCCGATTATTAAAGAATCCAATGAACATGTGATGATTGATGTTGATTTAGGAAACAGGTTTCCAGATGAGAAATCACCACAACATCAACAAGAAAATCAAGTTTTGGTCGGGTTTTCAAATACTGAATTTAAAGCATCTTCTAAAACTAAAAAACCTTTATCTTTCTTAGTGAGTGATTATTAAAATGGTTCAATTCATTCCAAAACCTAATGATGTTTTTTTCGATTTGATTTTTTTAAAAAGCCTCGACAAAAACCACCACCTAGTTCTATGTTATCAACAGGTTCATTACCCGACATTCCAACCCAATCAAACTTCACAAATCCACCAGAAAGAAAGAAACCTAGAAACAAGAATCATAGGAAATCTAGTAGTATGAAATACACTAATTCTAATTCTGAAGAATCGATGTCTGAATCACTTTTACCTAAGAATCCTCATGATTCTAAAGAAGATCAATCCAAGAATATTAAGTCTAATCATGTTACGAATGCAGGTACGGAATCGGATACCAATACCAATGGGTATGTTAAGACTTTGAATGATGATGATGAAGATGGAGAGATTTCTAGTATTGCAACCAATGGAAAAAGAGTACATTGAAATCCGAATTTATGCATTTAAGCTTTCATTGCTTTTTCTTTGTTTAACTATACTTATATTTTGTAATCTTTTCAACTTCGATGTACAACCATTAAATTTACGATTTTCTTGATTTTCTTGATTTTATATTTTTGATGAATTGTAATTTGGAGTAAGTACCTTTCTTATGATATGAAAATGATTAAAAAAATGGAATATTGAGGTTAGAGAATCAGCTTTGTAAAGTGAAGAATTTATTCAAAATTCTCATGAACCAGTGGCGTAAGATATTATAGAATCCGATTGAATTGTTTGATGAGTTGATTTTGAATTGTAAATCAGGGTGTTTGATTAAGGAAGTGAAAGGGTGGTGTGTGTTTAAGATTTCAGATGAGTTCTCTTTCCAAAAGTGAAGTTGATTGTTGACCACTTTACCATTCTCCCTTATCAACCGACCAACTCACCAACCAATCACCTCCCATCCAATCCAATACCCTGCTCATGTCAATGTATGTATAACTATTCTTGACCCAGCAAACCATCAACTAATCAAACAAACTTTCTCTCAGTCTTACTCTAGGTAACAATTTAAAACAAAACGCTTCAACTAGTCGTCGTCCATTCTTTGAACGTAATCGAACTACTCATCCTGCTAGGTACATTCATTCATTCAATCTAACACATCTTTTTACAAGAAAACTCAAACTGATCTTGGTTTTTTTTATCTTTTATAGGAGTACAATCTCTCATCCGTTTGTATCTTTTTTTCTTCTTCTGCTGAACAGGTTGATCTAATTACTTATTTTATGATTTCTTCTTTTCTTTTTAGACAGTTACGTGATTTACTGATTTGTCCTGATTTACCACATCATGTTCAAACTATCTCGGGTAAGAACTTATATTCAAGATCAATCTACTTCACTTGATTGAATTTGTTGAATTATCTTTTTCTTTTGGTCGATAGGGAATGGGGTAGATACACATCTTTTGGGTCAATATACAGTCAGTTCAATTCCGATTTCAAGTGATCTTGTCCATTTAATTGATTTTGTTTATTTCGATTTAGATGTCATTGATGGATGTTCCTACTAGCTTTGCTCCAAACTGTTTGGTTCATGGGTCTGTCTTGATCTTCTCCAACCTCACTATCTTTCACAAAAACAAAAGACTGCTTCTATTAACTGATTTGCTTATGTGATGAATTTTGGGTTCTTTTTCTTAGTTGTGGAATGATGGCTATGGGTGGTGAGAATGCTGATCTTTTGATTCGTTCAACTGACATTACATCAAAATGGGAAATCAAAACCCAAACAGGTCGATCAATTGTCAAGTAAGATTTTTGATTTTCATTCATCAAAGAGCTACGAAGCAAAAAATATTCATTAATTCATTGTCTTTTGTTTTGGTGATAGTTCTGCTTGCTTTCATCAATTCTCTAATTCTTTTAATCCTCAATTATTAGTTTGTAATAATGATCAAACTGTAAAGTGCAAACCCTCTTTCTTTAAAACCGACTCCAAACCAAGACTTTTTTTAAAAAAAATTATCTAACCTTTGATCGTTTTGTTTGTTGATTTTTTTTCCAGATCACTCAATATGATATTTCAAAAGTGACTGAAATTCAAGCAGCAGCAAGTAATTCATTATCAGTAGATACATCACATCATTTACCAACGACTACATCAGCTTCAAATCGAATAGGATCACAAGATAATAATGATGAAGAAAGAATTCAAGCAGATGAAAAACCGATTTTAACGTCTCAAGGTAGTATACATTTACCTGTACCTGTTAATCATTGTAGTATTAGTCAAGATTCAAGATTGATGGTAGCAGTAGGAGACAGTAATGAAGTTTTCTTATACGATTGTCATAATTCTACTACTTCCAATTCAACTTCGATCACCTCATGGAATTCGAAAACCAAAAAACTTCATTTACCAGGCGTATCAAGTTCGACGGGATCTTTTTCAACTTCTTGGAATCAATCATCTGATAAATTTGCCGTGGCAAGTGAAGGTGAAGTAGTGGTAGTCTTTGATATTAAAATGTTGGATAAACCTTTGTTGGTGAAGAAAACTACTCAGAATGGTAGAGCTGGTGCTGCCAGAGTGGTTAAGTTTACTCCTGAAGGTCCTAATGAACTTTTAGCCTTTACAGAAGTAAGTGATTTGTTTAAATTGATGATTCTGTGAAATATGTTTTATGAATGCGAACTGGATTCTTTTTTTTCGGTTTGGTTTGGTTTTAGCATCGATCTTTGGTACATGTCATTGATGCTAGAACATTCGATCCAGATCATGATGAAACACTTATTGTACCAACCCCATTACCAGGTATCAATCCGAATCCGATCAGATTACCACCAGGAACGATTAGATTATCATCTTTGAATGATAATCGATTAATTCAATCATGGATGAGAGGATCTACAAGTCATAGATCATCTACAGAAGAAGGAGAAGTGAATGTGTTACCTGAAACAGAAGAAGAAGAAGGAGAAGGAGAAGGAGAAGAAAGGCAAAGGTCTTTGGATGAACCATCACGGGAGAGAAGAAGATCTGAAGGTGGACATGGGATGGAAGAAGTACTTTGGGGTGAACTGGGAGAAAACAGAGGGAGTGGTAATGGAACTGAAGAGAATGCTTATCGGTCCTCTTTGGTTAGAAGATCTAACCGATTGAGTAATGGGATTGGAAGGAATGAAAGGAATGGTACAAGATGGGCTGGGGTGGGTACGAGTAATAGTACGAGTGGTAGTAGTAATTCTAATAATGTTAGAATCGGATTTCCATCTTCAAGTTCGAATTTGAATTCTAATTCGATTCCAAGTATGACCCGGAGGAATCGAAGAAATCATGAAAGAACAGAAGATGAAGGAGAAGGAGAAGAAGATGAAGAAGAAGAATGTATTATTCAAGAGATGGTACCTAATGATCTTGAGATTACGAGACTGTTTAATCAAAGAGAAAGAGAGCTTCATCAATCTTCTACTGTTTCTGATTCGACTAGTTCTTCTGGTTCTACCAATCAAAATAATTTAATCATTAGATCTAATCCGATCGAAACTAATACTAGAAGAATCCAAATCGGAGGCTCATCCTTACGAATGATTAACCTTCAAGGAAGTTCGACGTCTGGAAACCTAGGATTAGAACACACCAGTAATCTAACCGAAAGTTTTAATGAACAGATCCGAAGATTAACTAATCGAAACTTACATCAAACTTGGTTAGATGTTTCTTCAGGCTCGATGGGTCAAGGCGCTTTGGGATTACATCATCATCATCATCTTAGGAGTGGGATGTGGGATGATTTGGTAGGGGTGAGTTGGACGATCGATGGTGAGTATTTGGTCTCTGGAACTGAGGTCGGGTTGGTGGAATGGAAGGTTAAGAGGTGTTTTAGAACTGGATTTGGGGATTCTAGATTGTGTTGAGGTGTTCCCTAAAGAGGATTGAGAGAGGTTGGGGTTGGGGGTTTCTTTGAGGAGGGGAGGAAGTTTGGAGCAATACTTTTGTTGTTTCTTTTGTTGTATTTTTTGATGAGTTTTTTTATTTCCTTATTTGTTGTTGTTGTTGTTGTGGAGGGGAGTAAGGTGAGGGGTATGTATTTTTGTTTTGGAATGAAATGAATTTTGAAAAGTAAAATGAAAAATGAAAATCAATGAGTTTAACTTTGGATGATGAGAATGAATGGTAGGATTGAGTTCATCATGAATGTAATTGTTGGTGGGGGTCTTGATTGGAATGGTTTGGTAAGAAGTGAAATGTTTGAATAAAAAAACACTAGAGAGTGTGTAGATTGTCTTTTTGAGATATCTTGTAGTGCAATCAAATATGACTTGCAACATAGGGTGATCTATACCTCTGTTTGTTGAGCAGAGATTACTGCTGTATGACAAGATTGGCTTGGTGGTGGACAGCCACCATGAGATGGTGGTCAAGTGGCAAGATTGGTTGGCCACCATAAGGCCCCGTTCGGTGCCCTTCAACCTCTCAGGTGTACACCTCAGAGGCGTCTACTTGCGCATGCGCGAGTAGACGACGTCTACCTCGCAGGTTGTCTGACATCTTCGTGTGTTCGGTAGCCTGATCTTGACCGATTTGAAATCTGTCAGATCATGGGTTTCAGGATCTGACAATTTTTGTACATAGCTACTTAGATTCCCACGCTTTTGATTTTGTAATGTTGATCTGGAGTTAAAAAATTTCTCACTATCTCTCACTCTCGAGTCTCGATCACATCCAAAATGCCCGTTATTCGCACAGGCCGACTAGCTCAAAGACGGATGCTTGCTTTCGCAGCCTTTGGTGCTGCTCAATACTATACAGTCGATTTCAGAAAGCTTGGAAACTTTTGCCCGCCAAATTTGAGCAAATTGGCGCGGAATTCTTTCCAAGCTTTGTGAAATTGACTGTACATCACATTTACAACGCAGACCACCAACTGTACGGAACAACTCTATTCTTTCCGGGCAAGGATGGCTGGATGAGCTTTTGAAATCAAGTAATCCACATCGGCTTTATGATTCACTGGGCATGAAACCTCCCATATTCCTTAAATTGGTGGATGATTTGAAAGCTCGAGGGCTTCTTGAAGATACAAAAAACATGACTGCAGAAGAGCAGATGGCGATTTTTCTATTCACAATCATCACCGGTAACTCTGTCCGAAAAGTTGAAGAACGCTTTCAAAGGTCTCCAGACACCATCTCACGGTATGGTGCTCTTTGTATGTTTTTGCCTGAAGTGACTGTGTAACTGATCCTTGAATTATGCACTCAGTGTTTTTCACAAAGTTCTTGATGCTGTCAATGATTGTAGTTTTTACACCAGCTTGGTCCGACAGCCAACGGTGCACACTTCGCTTCCACTTGCCTTTTCTTCAGACAAACGCTTCATGCCGTACTTCAAGGATTGTGTGGGCGCAGTGGATGGGACACACCTTCCAGTACATGTCTCACCAGATGACCGACCTCGATTCTGTGACCGAAAATCAAATCTAAGTCAAAATGTGCTGGCAGCTGCAAACTTCAACATGATGTTTCAATATGTTATGCCGGGGTACACTGGCACAATGCCAGATAGTTCTATGTGGGAAGACTCATGCACCGCCAAGAAATTCACGTCGGAATGCCCCTTCCGATGTCACATCGTGGACGGTGTTCCGAAGCAGGGTCGGGGCCAAATTGTGCGATAGAATTGTTGTGCGATGTGTAATCACATCTTCACTGGCCGATGGGATCCGCAGTCCGATTGAGGATCGCTTTGGCACAACCGATGAAACTGAGCGCCGATCCCAAACCGCATTGGTGGCCGCCGACTGAACCTCAGTCTGATCAGGTCCGATGGCTACTCGTATAGCGCTCATCCGACTAAAACAAATGTGCGATACAATCATCGCATCGCATCCCCTCTGAGCAACTAAATGTCGGGCCTTTTGTCCCGATTCAATCATTTTTTCGATTTCATGTCGGTGTTTGAATCGCGATTCAATCCCCTGAATGCCCAATTCAATCTCGCTGGCGAGGCAACTTCGGTTGCATCTTAGCGACACATTCCAAAAGCAGCCGATGCAATCGGCGTAGGACCGATTTGGTCTCGAATCGACACAAAAATTGCAGAAAAATTTTCTGTCTTGCGAGCTCTTCGAACTTCGAATCTGAGCTCTTCAAGCTCTTCGAACTTCAAATCTTAAGCTCGAGTGTCAGAGGTCTGGGCTTCGAGCCTCAAGAGACCTTGACATATAAAGCTTCGAAGTTCGAACTTGACTTTGAAGTTCGAACTTGCCCTTGAAGACTCAGCACGTAGCCACTCTTGCGATTAAGTGCTTCCATGTAGTCAGGGTGATGCGGAGAGGCTGAGATCCAATACTCTCCTTTGATGTTCAGCATGTATGCATCCTCAGAATAGTGTGTTCTTCTGAGGATGAATAGTCCAGATGCGCATTTCAATCCATATAAGATAGGGTTCAACTCACGCGATCATCTTCATATTCAACAGTTTCTCGCTTCATCTCACTTTGACACCATTTATCAATTCATTAAGGCCAATCACCCAAGAAAGCAAAGTCTTGAAAGATGAAAACGTTAGCTCTGATACCTTGCCACTGTTCCGACTGTGAAAAAAACACCTACCAACATCCCCAGACCAATGCTAAAGTATACGGAACGCTCTGGAGACCTGCAAATCACAAAAAACATGTCAAGAGCTTCGGGACACGCGCGACATGCACGGCACAAAAACTCTCTTTATCCTCGGATATTTCAGGTAGGTAGACGTTCTCTCTTGTTAAATTGTTAATATTCCTTGAGAGTCTGAGAGCAAGCGGTTGATAGATACACGATCACCATCACAAGATGCCCAAAAGGCCTCAATGGAAAGTTTGCCTCTTGCTTCTTCGAACTTAGAAACAACAGCTTTCAATCGTAAAGCCACAGAAAGCCACTTCCAACCATCATGGGATGGGCCAATCATAGATTCAAGTGTGTTTCATCATCTTTTATTCAATAGAGTTCTATCTTTATGTGAATTTCGTTGAATTTTTGAATCTTTGACAAGCAGGCATATACAGTACAACACACTACGACAAGTTTCGACGTTGGAAGCCTTCTGACCTGGCTTACTTCCTTATGATCACATGTTTACACCTTATCAAAAATATCAGTGTGGAGGCTGCCACGCTTTGCTTGCATGTCATAGGTGCAGTCTCCACCTTCAACACCGATGAAAAGTCTTTGCAGGCCACTTTACCAAAGGCTATGAGTACATTTCTTGATGGACTACGGATTGAGCCAAAGATTCGCAGAACAGTGTGCTGCCCCAAATGCTTCAGTATGTACTATGGTGATAAGATTCCTACATTTTGCACGTCTCAAGTTACTCCCAGGAGCCGTGTATGTTCAGAGCAGCTTTTACACGAAGCAGGTATTCATGATGGGACAACCCCAAAAGCATGCCGGCTCTTTTCGACTGTATCCTTTACTGATTGGTTAGCTCGTTTTTTGAATCGACCTGGGATCGAGGATTTGCTGGAATGGAGAGACGACTATTTCGAAACGCAAGGTCCGATCATGAAGGATGTCCGGGACGCTTCAATGTGGCACTCGCTTCGTGGGGAAGATGGACAGCGGTTTACCTCCTCTCCCGGAAATCTGGTGTTTGCTTTGAATGTTGATTGGTTCAATGCAAATGGAAACAAGGCTGCGTCGAAACAAATATCTCTTGGAACTATTGCTTTAGTTTGTTTGAATCTGCCACCAGAGATTCGTTCATCTCAAGAGAACATATTTCTGGTAGGGCTGACCCCTGGTCCTTCCGAACCGGACGTAGAGCAAATGAACCATGTTCTGGCACCCTTAGTCCAAGAACTCAAGGTCCTATGGAAGGGTGTCAAGTTTTCTTCTACCGCCAAGTATCCTACACATGGTAGAGTAATCCGTGCTATGCTAGGTCCCATTATCTGTGATCTTCCCGCAATACGA